GACCTGTCCAGTATGCCACAGAGAATTCCGGGCTCGGATTGGCCTCTTCAGCCATCTGCGCACTCATCAAAACCCAACAAAATGACAAACGTGCAATGGTCATCATCAACTTTGAAGTTTCAGAGAGACGGTGAATAGCAATGATCTCCACCGGAAGATAGTTGATAAGGAGTACACATTTTATACTGGGCTAATTGAGAGTTCAAATGCAACGCTTTCTGTAAATGATGAGAAAATCCATCACACCGGGAAAATGCGTGCATGCAGTGAGTTCAACACTGGGCACCAACTCTCACCTATGAAGAATATTTAAAGCTCTCTGTGTGTGAACGTCAACACAGTATTTCCAAAAGTGGGCCAGGCTGTCAAATCATTGAGATATACAGTTTCTCTTGGTGATAGTCAAAACAGAAAGAGCTGTTGTTATTTTTTATTAAACAGTTGTTCTATGTTTACAGTCACTGAAGCAGTAACTTGATAACTCAACTTGAGAGAATTCCTCATTGGGTTCAAACATTGTCATCAAACCCAGCGATGCTCATGTTACTGGGAAGGTGCTTGATGCACTTGGACCAAGGCTGCTGGCCAAGATATATCCTCTTCTTGGTTCTTTCGGTAAAGTCATCACGTAGAAGGGAAATAATAAAATAATAAAAATAAAACATAATAAAATAATTCTCACGACGTTTCGGCCACAACGTAAGCAGCCGTCCTCAGGTGAAGAACAGGTCTGTTCACCCGAGGACGGCTGCTTGCGTTGTGGCCGAAACGTCGTTAGTATAATTTTATTATGTTTAATTTGTATTATTTTATTATTTCCCTTCTACGTGACTTTACCGAAAGAACCAAGAAGATGAATCCCTGCAGTCATGAAAGCTTTAAATCGAAATTTAATAAATATCCTCTCTCTCTCCTCTCTTCCATCATTTTCCATTAGCTTTGGCGGTGAACAGTAATCTCTCCTCACCACATTTCGTTATTGTCTCTTAAGTCCTCCTTTTTATGCCATGAACCCACCTCTTGCGTGGATGGCCTCCACTTCTTGCCCCTTCTACATGGCAGTGCAAGGCCACTGATGATCATTCGTTGGCCCTCCCTTCTTTTTACACTTCCAAACCTTTGTACCTTTTGAACCAAAGTCGTCTGCTGCAGGCCTCTTTGTTCCCCTATGGCACGTCAATTAGATTGTCGTATTCGTGATGCTCCCAGAATCCTTCTCGGCTCGATCATTTCTTCTTTCTTTCATCCGATCTGCCGAAGATCCAGCATGCATTATTCAGGTCCGTAGAGCAGAACTAGGGTGGAGCTGAGTTCACCATTGCCATATTAATAATACAATAAGCATTTAATCCCTTTTTCACGCAAGGCACTGCTGGGTGAAGGCCTCTCCACACGCCATGTCAGTTGTGGTTGTTGTTCGCTATACCGAGTTCACTGCGCAATACGTGTAGATGCAGCGAGGTGGCCCAGAACTGTTTCAGATATCGCTTGCCACTGATGTTAACTCGGGTTGATGAAATTCGTATCACACTGCACTAACCACTACACCACTGCTTCGTACCACTGCCCACTAAAATGTGAAATTGATAGAAAACCACGCACCGTTCGTTGTAATCTTCTTGTCTCTAATGTATATTTTGGGTGCGATGTCATTAAGAAAACACAAAGCATGCAAAATGAAGTGCATTGTGGAATACTGTATTTCATTTTCGTGGCTGTTTTCCAGTCAAGTCCTGGCTGATAATATTGGCAACGTTTTAACGAGTGTATTTTCACTATGAGACCTCCTTTACCAGTGGAAAAATATAGTAGTAGGGTTTTATCCTTTAAACTGGTACAAAACTGACACCTTTATACAAGGTATCATGTTTGCAATAACCACAACACAAGTAGTCAAACTGCAAACAACTCTGATAATGATAAGTGCATATTATTATCATTATCAAAGTTGTTTCTTTTTGTTTGCATTTTGACTACTTGTGTTGTGGTTATTGCAAACATGATGCCTTGTATAAAGGTGTCAGTTTTGTACCAGTTTAAAGGGTAAAAACCTACTACTATGAGTGTATTTTATTTTAATATAAGTGGGGAGTGTTCACTGGGGAGAATGCTAGTCCGTGCATGTTTGTGACGTTGGGGGTTCGTACAGACTAGAATTGGATGTTGCTGCACTGCCACGTGATGCTAAAAATGACGACCACACCTGTTTCATGCGCATGCTGGTGACCCATCCGAGCACTATCCAAGTTCAAACCCTGCTTAGCCTTCAAAGTGTAAAGGGATCAGGCACATTTCGGGTGATTTAGTCTTGGGAAGGTAAGTAATTAAAGTATAATTAATACATATTTTTGTCGCTCTTATTGGAAACAAATATATAATTTCTGCATCGAATGAAATGCAATGTGGTAGTGCTTTCATGGGTCGGCCATTCCGACCCATGAAGTCGCTACTTCCCACAAAACAACAGCCTTGTTGTTATAATTGTTTTTTTACCCTTTTATCTGGCAACAAAACTGACACCTTTTTACAAGGAGTCATGTTTGCATAGACCGCAATACCTGCAGTCAAAATACAAACAAAAGACATAAAGATATAACTCTGATAATGTGCACATTATAACTCTGATAATGTGCACATTATCAGAGTTATGTCTTTTGTTTGTATTATGACTGCAGGTATTGCGGTCTATGCAAACATGACTCCTTGTAAAAAGGTGTCAGTTTTGTTGCCAGATAGAAGGGTAAAAAACCAATTATCATAGTTTTAATGTCAAATGAGGTTCCCATAGTATAGAGCCTTGTTGTTATTATGTGGGGGGTAATAATGAAAATCCCCCACGCTTTTAGTGAGGAATGGCAAATCACCAGAATAACAAACTGCGTAACACGCGAGCCAGCCAGCCTGCGAGTGGAGCAGAAACATTGTTTGCCAATTGAATTGCGAATTTTTGTTTTGCTCCGTGTGAAAGCAACCCACGTTAATCACAAAGCTGACCCTGATCTAGTTAATGTTTTATCCTATAAGGCAGCGCTCATTTTGTTTACGCTGTGATAATGTCGAACATGGAAGCGTATTACTCCGTAAGTTACCATTGGGTTCATGATCATTATGGATTATACCAACATCTTTGATTATCTACAGCAGTGTAATTTTACATAAATTAAAACGCAGTACTATATATGAATGATAAAAAGGTATCGCCCTTTCTCGCAAAAAAAGCAGGCGTTAAGTTGTTCAAACACCAAATAGACACATATTGCGAGGCATCAAGTTTCCATTTGCCACACATACTTGTGCAAAAAAAATGCATCTCAAGCTGTCTCTTGGGTGTGGACCAATCAACTTCAAGGACAGTGCATACATTATCAGAGTTATGTTTTTGTTTGCGTTATGACTGCAGGTATTGTGGTCTATGCAAACATGACTCCTCGTAAAAAAAGGTGTCAGTTTTGTTGCCAGATAAAAGGGTAAAAAACCAATTATCATATTTTTTACTGGCAAATGAGGTACCAATAGAATGTATGCATTGTCATTGAAGCTGAGGCAGTCTATGTTATGGCTTTGTCTCACCAGTTCTACAGCAAAGACCGCCAAATGAGGAACATCGTAACGCCTGCATTTATGCCAGAAAGGGTATGAATCCTGTTTTTGGTCATTCAATATCTTCGAACTAAATATTTTAGGGAGTTGAGTCTGAGATGGCTAAAGTCTGCACAACTACTGGTTTTGAATGTCACATTGCATAGCTTTACATTTCACAAGCGAGTTGGACAACATCTGGAAATCCCCTCTGCTCCTATTGACGTAACAGATATGCCTCAGGTTATCGGATATCAATGAAGGTCTGAGCCACTTCGTTTCAACGTGGTCGAATATCACATTTAATAACCATTCAAGATGTGCTTTTATTCAATTGGCGCATTATAATTTACTGGTCAATCTAGATTTGAAGTTTTCGTGACTGCAGGGATCCATACTCTTCGAAAGAACCAAAGAGTATTTACTGGTCAGTTTGATCAAGCTTGGAATGCATCGTCTGTATGACCCGAGGATGCGAGGAACCTGAATTGAACCAGCCGTATGAGTGTGTCGGGGAGATGCATTTTAGAGTTTGCCTCGCCTCTGGTTGTGTGGCTCTTCCTGGGGGCTAACACCCCTTTTGACACGCGGAATGTGGGATTGCTGGGATTGTCACAATTGAGTTATCCTCCAATAAATGCGGCACGTTTCCTTCGATCACAAATACTTCGGGCGGTTTTAGTCACGGCATTGAGACGCTTGTCTGGAACTTCCTAAAAAATTTGGATGAGTGTTTTTCTTTTTTTAAAACATCGTCTTCGATGGAATGTGTCATTGTTATGCTTCGGAAAAAAAAAATTTGAGCTTTGTTTTTGCAACTGGTATGTTGGCTAAAATGTGGCCCCTTAAGACAACTGGAGTATTTGGCAGCTATAAATTTCCACGCGATAAGCCACTTTGTTGAGCTATCCTTTGTGGCCGGGTCACTTTTGACAACCAGCTCCAGTGTATTAGCTCAGTGTGCCTTACGCGGCAACATATAAAAAAAATAGTTTAATAGATTAGTTGAACATAAAATAACGTGACATGACATGGGAGCACTCTTCAAAGCGAGCTAATTCAGTGATTTACCATGCGGCTTGACGAACTGCCTTGCCCCCTCTCTCCGTCTCCCGACGAGCTTATTACGTCTCGGTCATGCAGTCTGCTTCTGCTCGCCATGCCGCACCATGCAGTTTGTGTGTGTGTGTTTTTTTTTTACGAGCAGCAGAACAGATGGGAGCTGTCACATTAATAATAGGCGGTCGCCCATTATTATTGAGGATGGTGGGGAGGGTTTGTTGGGGGAAGAGGGCGGAGGAACGTGACAAGAACGATGTTTTATTTCCACGTGAAATGCCGAGTGCGCATTTTACGCACGTAAATTATGCAACCTGGCGGCTCCCAAATTGAAGACAGTCCACGGATGTGCAATGTCAGCGAATGCTTTGATTATGTTTATTGAGCAAATGGTGAAATAAACCAGTAGCATTACAAAGAAATTACAGTGATGTTAGTAGAACTCTTAACGTCGTTACGTAACTTCAAAAAAAGCATAGTTTTCTTTCTCCTGTTGTCATCGCATTACAATGCGGTCTTACTTTCAGCCCTGGTATACATTATACACACTCAATTAAAATTTCCACAAAATAAGAATATGTACGTGAAAAATCTATATTTACATTTAGCACACAAGGACACAACAATGCAACCACGCAAACACAACCTGACTATTACCATTCCGAGAGAACTACTGCCTCAAATTAATTATTGTGTTCAGTTTGTATGCCAAATGCAAACCTCCCACCCTCCCCCCCTCGGTCATGTGGGGAAAAGGACCAATCAGAACCACGCGTGCTTTGTATAAAGGTGCAGCCCTGCAATGGCTTGGGTCATGTCACTGCTGGTGGAAAGGACATCCCCCTAGTAGTGGGAACTTCACGATGTGCGGCCTCCCCTTCTACGCTGGAGGAGGTGTGAGCACCCACACACTTAACCCTACCACACAACATCTGCCGACTCATACTGATGGGTGGTGGACAGAGGCTGGGGGGGGGGGGGATCTAAGAAAATGTCTCTGTCATTACAACTGCCTCGCCGGGAGAGCAAATCGAACCGGCGATCTTTGGGTTGGAAGTTCAGCGTGGTTAGTTGACCCCTCCAACCCCGCGCACATCCGATTAGCATGGTTGGCTTTCGACAGGTGCGAAAGAAGTTCAACATACCTACGTACACACGGTGTGCTCCTAACCATTAGACCAGGGCAGCATTCTTCCACCATGATGTAAAACCAGGTTATTTCTGTAAACGTGCAAGAAATGTCTGAAAACTAAGCGACAGTCCGTGAGCGTAGTGAAGGATGATGAACTATATTTTTTTTCTCAGAGACTACATGCATTAACCGTGGCACGCTTTTACGAGTCCCAATTTGCACAAGCCTGACAGATGACGTAACAACTTTGTGTATTGTAATATATGCATGGACATTAACTGTAAAGTATAAATCAACTGTTAGAGTTGATGTTACATCACTGCTGAGCTCACGTAAACTGGACGGTAAACCGGCCATTCTCTTATGAATAATAATAATAAAACATCTTATCGTTTAATTTTAAAAGTGCGAATAGAAACATTAAATAAAACATTAATAACAAACCGTAATGATCAATAGACTTCAGTGTGATCAATGGACCTTTCAGTTCCAATGGCTTTGCACAAAAAACAACCTTTCCTTGAGTAAAGGAACACCTGGAGGGAGATATACCATTGGCAGCTGAGAAGCATTTTGTGTAAAGCCCATTTGTGAAGTCAATGGTATATAAAAATAAATAAATAGACAATGAAATATAATTTTTATACGGGGGCAGTGTGGGGTGGGTGGATGTACTCTGCTTAAGGTATATATTACGTGTTTACTTGTTTGCTATATATGTGTCATTTAACACCATGGGCACCTTTGCAAACGAGATATTCCATCTCAAGGGGTCATCCAGGTGAAACGTTTTAATAAAAAAGTATAACGGATCCGACACCATAATGTACAACCACTTCTGAGCCATTTTTTGAAGACTACATTTCTTTGTCTGTGTACATAGTCCCCATATGTCATATGTAACGTTAGGGTTGTTTGACCATACTTCACCACGCCGGTCAGCTCGGCTTGGTGCAGTAGGCGAGGAGAGACGTTGTGAGGATTGCACAATACCATGGATTTTTCTGTACTGCCGTCTGCTAACAACAGCCCACACCATATTTTTGTATTGTGTGGTGGTCACCCATCCAAGCACTATCCAGGCTCAAACCTGCTTATACTTCTGAGATAAGATGTGATTGGGCACATGCGCTGCGGGATTTGGTCCGAGGCTGATTGAATGTGTTCAGAAATGCAGTTCAGATTGTCGCCGGTTAGTTCAAGAGAACAACTTTAACGTCACCTGACTGGTCTCTAACAATGAAATCACACCGATCGTGACAAACGTTCTCATTTTGGTTTGTGCCTGTACATTCTTGAACGACATCTCACGAATATGACCGAAAGAGAATAAGGCCTTCCAATGCGCACGCTTTCCCGATATTGGCTGAGAAACAAAGGGTCGCGCGGTGTTCCAGAAATAAAAAAACACAAGCAGCAATTTACATGGATCGATGCGATTAGTCCATTCCCAACATTTCTAAATGCGAACGCCACCACTGTCAATCCTCAAAACATGTGTTTGCGGACCCACCGTGCACCAACAACAAAATGACTCCCAAACACCGTATCGGCTACGGTTCCGGGTAACACATCCCATGGACTTGGAGATCTTCAGTCGTCCGCAGACCACAGGCTGGCAGCCACTGGTCGATTCCACGATGGCAGCTTTTGCTTGCACTTTACACACAAAGGTTGTGTGGAGTGCAAGCATTTTCAAGAAGTTTAGCTTTTTTTCCCCTAAAATGTATGCATGCGGACGATGTTCATCACCATGTAGAGTTGGTATAGTTTCTCATGAGCGCATCGATTTACTGCATGTGCTCCTGAGCACATGGGTTTTTTTTCTTTAAAGTGTTTAGGAATAACGGACTGAACTTGTAATTGCTTTAGTAGGACCATTACATTTACAGAACTCCTATTAGCCACGATTATATTGTCCGCAACTCCTATTATTCACGGGACTATAGGGTCCACGGAAACTCATATAATTCATGAAGTAAATTCGCAGATGACTCCGCGGATAATAGGATCCGCAACTTTCGTCAACCACGTCTGATCACGGATAAGAGGAGTTCTTTAACCACCACTTTGGAGCCTCCACTTATGTATGTATGGCTTGGTGTACAAATGTGCCACTGCGACCCCTAATGTACTACAAAGGAAGACATTCAATTGTAGTCTTGCTGTGACATTCGATAACGAACTAGGTAACATAAAAAAAGAGCCATCAAAACAGACACCTTTTAGTTAAGCATATAATAAACGCACATCCAAGACTTAACAAGAAAAAAACGAGGACTCAATAACATTACCATCAACGGCCGTGCTTCGTTTAAGACGCAGACTTCTGCGACTAATGTTCGATTCATCATAGATTTGTAGGTCAGATCGCGTGAGTGTGACACACTTTGGCCCAAAAACCAATTGTGAATCACAGCTTGATATTTCATTGTTGCAAGTCTTATTTGAAGATAGTTGTGAAGAGCAGTATTGTAATACAAAGTTTTGAGTGTGCGAGCACTTCTAAAAAAATAAGTATAAGGATGTCATACATGTGGTGATATGAATTTGTTTTTTTTACCATTAATTACCAATTTAACCATTATCAATATCAATGGGCTAGAAAATATCTATCTGCATGCATGTGAGGCATCTATAACTGGTTGAAGATATCATCTCCAGGGTACGGCATTATATAAGATGATGTTAAACAGTCTTTAGCACTTGTGGAGTTCATCTTCTTGGTTCTTTCGGTAAAGTCACGTAGAAGGGAAGTAATAAAATAATAAAAATAAAACATAATAAAACAATTATTACTTCCCTTCTACGTGACTTTACCGAAAGAACCAAGAAGATGAATCACTTGTGGAGTGTTTTTCCATAAAGCTTTTAAAAACAATTCATATTAAACTGTACAATAAAATCACTCGTAACATATGACAGGAACATGCGATGCCCCAAACACACATGTTTCACTTACTTTCATAAATAAGTACATTCTATTCTACTTTTGCGTGTGGAAATATGTTCAAGAGCTTAATGCCAACGTCGAGGTTTGCTGGCCACGAGAGAGCTTCAGAAGAAAGTTGGCGTAGTTTTTGCAAGTTCCTCCATTTAGTAAGTAATTAAGCAAATTACACGTACGTTTAAATTGTTGAAGCCGATAAGGCGATTGTACGGTGTGGGTTATTGAAGGTCTTGCCTTTTGTCTGGTAGAGGAATCTTCATTCTAAACCTGGAATGAGTTCATTACTGTTACCTAATCGGATTTGCTGTGCATCCCTAAAGAATGCAAGGTCATACCTGGAATCTGTATGGACATTAATTTGCCGTACCTAGATAGATACAAAGTGGTTTTTGCCAACTACGACATTACAACCAAATAATTAGATGTACAAAATCAATGATGTCACATGAACATTTAAAATGTATTTATTTATTAGTGCTAGAACTAATAATGCGGTCATTCCGAATAAACCTGTGCATGCCACATTACACAACCTCAGATTCACCTTATGACCATTGAAGTACTTGTGTAAAAAGATGCATTAAAACTCATCTTGTAAGCACGATATATATCTATATAATTTATATGTGTAGGAGGTATAACATATGTACAGGTGATTCATGTTAAAGCTTATATTAAAAGAGAACGTTTGAAAGTCATTTTTCAGAAAATACTGTTTGCGATCTTTAAGGTCTGCTTCGATTCCCACAGCTACAGCCGGTGCTAAGCAAGAGACAACACAGACCATCATCTTCTTGGTTCTTTCGGTAAAGTCACGTAGAATGGAAATAATAAAATAATAAAATAATTCTCAGCGACGTTTCGGCCACAACGCAAGCAGCCGAAACGTCATGAGAATTATTTTATTATGTTTTATTTTTATTATTTTATTATTTCCATTCTACGTGACTTTACCGAAAGAACCAAGAAGATGAATCCCTGCAGTCACGAAAGCTTTAATTCGAAATACAGACCATCATCTTCAGCAACGGGCATTAGCAGGAGGGGGGTACCAAAAGTAACTCTGCTGAACCCTCCGAGCCGCTGACATAGAAAGGGGTGCAAGTTTGCCTTTACTGTCCACGGCTTGCGAGAAGCACTCGTCCCAGATGGGACACTAGCGCTGGGCGCGGTTGCCACCACTTGCATGTTATGGGAAGCAAAAGAATGTCTCACAATACCGGACGATGTGAGAACTACAATACGACGTGTAAATGCATTGTCTTCGGTGGTGTAGCAGTAGTAGTATTGTTATTATAATTCCTACACAACTTACAAAAAAGCTGGGACTTTTCATATTCCGGGAAGACTTCCCTAAGACGGTGCACCTCAAAATAGAGGACGATGCTGGGAATACCAGGACTGGTGTCAATCCCAAGTGCTTTGGTGGCTGTGCGGCAGAGGAGGGGGAGGGGGGGCGGTGTTGGGGTTTAGCCTCTGGACAGGGCCCTGGCCTCACTTCCTGCGGCACACCTCGGCGTAAGCGAGCTCGATCTCGCGGTCCGCCGGGCAGGTGCGCATGAACTCGTCCTGGGCGTACGCGTTCTTCAGGTAGCGCCAGATGCCCGTCAGCTGCTCCGGAAAGTCAAAGCCTCTGTAGCGCTTGCACACCACCTGTGAAGAGAGGCGTGCGGAATTGTTGGGTGTGAAGGAAATTGGACAATACCCGCTCGTTGCACTTGCCCAGTCGTTAACTGAACGGTTGCATGAGACTTGGTGCCTTCTGGCAGTTTTTTGGTTTGTTGCTGAAAGAAAAGATTAACTGTTCAAGAAAATGGGAGTCTTGTCATTCTGGTTATCTTGATCGTAAAGGTGCAGCCCTGCAATTACTTGCTAACGCCACTCCTGGTGGAAGGGCCTCCACTCGAGGGAGCTCTGGAGAGCTACCCCCTCCTCTCGAGAATATTTGTCCTCTTTTATGCCGGAGGAGGTGGGAGCACCCACATTTTACCCCATCACACGTGACGTTTATACTGCTGGGTGGACAGAGGTGCGAGTTTTAAGAAACTCGCTCATCGTTTCAACTGCTGCGCCAGGAGACTTAACCGGTGACCTCTAGATTACCTGTTCAGTGTGCTAACCATGACACCAAGGCTTCATTCATAATATAGTCAAGCAACCATTTCTGTTCGGTTATACATTGTTTTATATTCTTACATCACGTTAAGTAAAATTTTACAGGTTTTTTACATATCGACTGCATTTGGGAATATATTCTAGTATATTTCAGAAGCTGCTATAATACAGTTTATTGCGTTTAGCAAAAGCACTTAGGACTGGTCACCAAATATTGGTGTGAATTACTGAGTGCATTATTGATAGGTCTGGGTGAGTGGTGAAGTCAGGGAATCCATGAAATGTAGATTCTCTAAACCAAATATAACCAGAACCTTGTATACTTATATATTATTTTCAATGTTACCACAAAACATTTTATGAATTGCATCCGAAGGCCCTCCCATTTTCTAAAATAGGAAACCACGAATATTATTCAATAGTAATCTGTAATGGGATATTCTCCTGCATTCTATCTCAGTTCACATCACACTCCACGGGAGACAAATTAGTTGCTTCAGTAATAATAGGATTGTACATTTGTAGTGACATATATTGGGTCACTACGGCGTTTAGCGCCAGCTACTGAGAGAAGAGTGCAACTGTGCGTGTTAGAGCCTCTCTCTGGCACCAGAGGACGTATGGCATGGAAGGGGGCCCTAGGGGGCATGGTTCTGGTGACAGTCAGAGAGGGCATTTGAGGACGTGACAGTCTAGGTGAGCCCGAGAGGGCACGTGACCAGGACAGGATAATGAGGGGGGCCAAAAGGTGGCGAGAGGGACACGTGATGTTTCGCCCAGAACCTTCTAGTAGGATCTAGAAGGCGGCGTGGCCGAGGGCGGAGCCAGGCCATGCTCAGGGGCATAAAAGGGAGGTCCTAAGAGCAATCGGGGCTGTCTGTTGGAATGGAACCCATCGATGCTACGTCTTTTCGATCCTCGGTCCCCGGTTATGTAGCTACCCTGTTGTGGTCTAGTTAACGAGTGTACGTTTATGTAGTCACCCTGTTGGGGTGTGAGAATAAACATGTTGCCTCCAAGTTCAAGTGTGTGCCTCCGTGGAACCCACTACACATTTGAAAGTGTTTAGCACGCGACCTAAAGCAATGTCTAACTCAATGCTGAACCTGTGCTCTGAATTAACCATCCTCCTGGCCATAATTGTTGGCAGGGACAATCCAAACAATGTGGAGTTTGGATGTTTCTATTTATAAGCACTCAATTGTACTTATGCAAAACTTTCAGCTTCCTATCAGTTCTCGAACGTCATTCTAATTGACGTTTAGCCAGTCAATCACGGTTGTCTAGATATACAAGACGTGTAAATCAATCGTGAAAATTATTTTGTATATTAGTGTGTGGTATTCATTTAGCTTTTCTTGAGTTCTCACTGTTACAAACTCGGTGGTGCTGTGCTAGGCCATGCATTGTGTTGGGAAAGAGCTCAGAGCTGGAGTCTAGCCAAATTCATTGGTGATGGGAATGAGACCAGCAACGCATTACAATTGAGAACCCTGTTTTATTCACAGGTGGTTACCTGGATACAAACTCAGGATCTCAGCAGTTCCGGCTCAGTGCTCTGACATCCGAGATGCCAAGCTACCTCCACAAATGACTATGGGTTGAGTTTTACCTGACTCAATCAGAGGTCCCTGGCTCCGGTGTGACTTTAGTCAGCATCTGTATTTTATTATGTTTTATTTTTATTATTTTATTATTTCCCTTCCACGTGATTTTACCGAAAGAACCAAGAAGATGAAGACAGCATCTGTTTCATCTTCTTGGTTCTTTCGGTAAAGTCACGTAGAAGGGAAGTAATAAAATAATTAAAAAAATAAAACATAGCCTTCGTCTACTTGACTTGTCAGGTAGACGTTATTTAGTCATTCTATTTATCTAGTCGACTAAAGCCGTCAAGAATGTAGTTCACCTTCAGTTATTTAAAGGTTGGTGTGGGAGCCACGAAATTTTCCCTCTCCCAACCACATCGAGCAGGTTGTCAAATCAATGAACTTAGTACATCTATTTGATATTCATTTACAAATTAAAAAAAACATTTGATCTTCCTCATTGCACCGGAGTTTCTCATATAGTTGATAAATGATCTTCGTCTGCACCTTCATTCAGCCTCGTAATTGTTTGTCTCATCACAGCAAAGTAAGGCTTTGGCCTATGGTGGGCAACCATCTACAAAGGGTGGTCCAGATGTCTTGTGACACGCAATTAATTGTCTCCTAACATTTTTATTTATTACACGTTTTTTATTCATTCACTCTGTCTGTTGTTGTTGTTGTCGTATCCTCAAATCTTGTAACTCAATTTTTACCCACTTCCCAATGTGGTATCGACTGTAATCTTGGTAAACTTATGTCATACTGATGACAATACTATATTCTATCATAAAAAATAAAAAAAAACATATATTTTAAAACATTATTTTTTATATGTTATGTTTCGGCTTGGGTCTAATTGTCCACGCTCAACTGACATTGGCTGTAAATCACTACGGTCCCTTACGCTATGTCAAACTTTCGGGGCCCCTTCCTGGAGTCATGGAGTTCTGCCATTACTCGTACGGTACATTTCATTAAAGCGTGTTTTAAAAAAGTATTTTAAAATATTACTTATTTTAAATTGCTTCCATTGCATGACACACCCATTGGTATGCATGCAAAAATATGAAGTTTTAGAGAATTAAATAGGGGGGATCACAAGACATCTGGACCACGCTGTACAATAGCCGTCATTCTTGATGCTTATCATCCACTCAATAGTCAACGTCGGCTCAAATAAATATATATAATAATTATCGGTGAACATTTCCGTCGCTGGTTTCGTTAGCAAAGCGAACATCGCCCGGGCGGCTCACCTTGACAATGTGGAGTTTGGGCAGGAGGTCACAGTCGGCGAGCGTCAGCTGGTTCCCGTCCAGGAACTTTCGCTCGGTCACGTCGCTGCTGTTTTCCTCGTACGGCAGCGGCTCCTTCAAGTAATCGTCGAGCCGCTTCATTCGCCTTCAGGAGGTTCTTCATCAGGTCTGCGCAGAAAGCGTTTCCGTATCGGGGGGACATTCGTGTTATGTTGTCGTGCGGTATCAATAATTCAGCGATGAATGCGCCAACAACAACAAAAAACACATTCTGTTGTCTCGAGTGAGTAAGACAAGTGTCGACTGTTATATAAGAATAAAAAATAAACTCCATTAATGTTTAAGAAGTGAAACTGAGCCCTGGGCACTCACAGTTGTCAGAGCCGTTGTCCGTGGCGCTGGAGTTTTTGATGTATGCCGAGAACCTGGAGAACACATCAGCCCCTGCCTTGTAGGACGACTGATATTTGACGCCCAGGCTTGGGTACCTGTAGAGTGAACGACGCATTGCATTAGATTGGTGTGAATGCAAAAAGCAAGACATTCGAATTCCGTGGCCTAATAAAGGCTTTCATTCGAGGCATGAAGATCCTTTGATGTAATGATTAATATCAATTCTCAAGGCTCACAATATACCGCATCGAATCACACTTGAGTAATCGGCATTTTTCAATGTATGATATTACACGTGGATGATATGCGAATCTCTTACATTTAGGCAAATGGAGATAACTAAATTGTAAAAATGAGACCAACGAGAAACAATAAAAATATGATGGTAAAAAAGAGATGCAAAAAAGTGTCTGTTCTCGCATGGAGTTGTTGCACCTTAATCTGAACATTGCATTGAACTGCCGAGTAGGGAACCATTACACCCCTGGTTTTCATTACGAATATATCTTACCTTTGAATAATTTAGCCATTTGAAAAAAAACAAATGCAACACAATATTTTTTTAAAAATACCCTTGGGTCTTGTGCTAAAACAACACAACTACTTTATATCATGCAAGGAATACACATTGCACCATGGGAATTGCTACCATATTGTAAGTCCCTTTTATAAATGTTTGATGCCACGTGTAATGCGTTTTTCCAGCCATTTGTGTCCCTTGCGTGCCATAAAAATGACGCACAAATGCGCCATTTGGCGGCTTGTTTAATAAATAATCAAAAGCTTTCGCGAGATGTGATTAATGGATGAGCACATTTCATATGGTGTACAGTGTTGCATTTTCAATTACAAGATGCCAAGGGCAGCATTTTAACCCTTCGAGGCAGTAATCCCGACGAGGACACTGAGCGGCTGATTCAGGACCTTGTGAACAATTTCATTTTCACTCTACGGAGCTTTGAGTCAAGACGGATTATCTGTGTCATCTCCACGGGGCATTACAACCGCGAAGTATCGTACGCCGCCAACACGTTTGCCCGGTTTATTCTTTTTTTCATAGATGCTCTCCTCTAAACTAGAAGCTGTTTGTTTTTGATGTTTTTTGTTGCTGTTGTCGTGCTGATAAGTAAAACAAAAAGTTGTATGATATAGAATTCTACATTCATTGTTAAAACTAATGGCATCACAAAAACACTGTCGTTTTGTTTGGTTTTGCCATGGCAGTAGTTTTGCTAAATGAGTATACAGTGCTTCATGTAATTGCCAATCATAATATATTAATCACGTACAAATGCCACATTACTGCTGCGGTATTCAGAAATATATCTGTTATAACTACATCTTGCATCTGCTGAAAACATTCCCATTTAGAATGTAGCAAATAATATGTGTGATGACAAGTACGCAATCAGCTAAGTGACCAATTTGGAGCAAGCACGTGCAGCATTTGGTCTGACGGAGCGCGGCCTCTAATGCACATCTGTGGAACATGAATCGTTACATTTCCTCTTATTTGTCCTTTGTTGTCACGAAGCCATTGTGCATGGCTTTGTGACATCGTCAAAAGCTGGTCCATCTAATGCCTATTGTGTGGACTGCTGCATCATCTGCTAGACTGGGTGGGTAGGGGGGGCATTATAAAGGATAATGCAGAGGATACTGTCCCCGGCTTTTAAAACCCATGGCTATCAAAGTATTGCCTTAAAGGTAAAATGTAGATAATGTAAATGACAATCATGAATCCATCCATTGCTAGAATGTACCGCACCATGAGAGGGTCGTTGTGAGAAAGGGTGGGCACTATACTGCCCTTACTGTATTTGTGGCGCAACTTGTTGTGTAATCGTCTTCAATGTTCTTCACAAATACATTTTTGGGGTTTTATAAAATAAAAAAATGTTGTACCCAGCCTAGAAACAGGGGCATATTCTTGAAAACAGCCCAATACTCATTATCCATTATGAAATCCTGGCGTTCCGTTTGTCCGTCAACTGAATTGAAAGAGCCTTTCAGAAGGCCTGCAACAAAAAAGTTATAGAAAGTGGACCCCAAGCCCCTCCCCCCGAGATGCGGGGGTTAAAAGTTTATCCAACAGGTTTACAAAAATTGTCGACCCCCCCAAATTCGTTCTTAATTCCCCGCAAAAAAGACATTTCTTGTAACACAAGAAATGCATGCCTACACACCCTACATACATTAGAGTCAGTAGTACCTTGTACAAATTGGGGTGGGGGGGGGGTGAAGAGGACATCAGTGGGGGCGATGAGCGAGGCGCAATGCGCCCAAATTCTAGTGCATTAAAATTGACCGCACGCATTAAAAACTCCCTTTCGGTAAAGAATACAGGATAATACATTACTGTCCTGTAGCTGCCTATCTTCACTTGAATAAAACATGAGATCAAATAAACAGATAGCAATATGCATTGCATGTTATGCTACACACCAAAACCAAGATCCCCCGTATATCATTTAAAATGTAAATGTTGTGGCTTGGCTCTCCAACACACCGGTGTGCTGTACTAGTGACGAATTAGCACGTTCTGTTTACGTGACGACGCTTACTAGTTGGTTGTGTCGGGTGGTGGCGGGTTTTAACGACACATTTATATATTTACGCGAGCTAACCCAACAAAAACACCTCTTATGGATTTAAAAGGCTGTTGGGGCAAGTGCTGTTAGCGAGCACCTATGCAGGCCGGGACGACACACAATAATGATGTTTGCCACAGAACCACCCCTAGCCGCCCCCCCCCCCCCCCCGTGTTAACGTTGAACCCACTGCCCCACAGACTCACTCACTATGAGGCTGAGTCTACCTAGGGGAAGGCCCAGGAGCAGTTCAAATATTCCCAACTGGACATTGGTCGTAAGTGGGAATTGAACTTGGGGTATTCAGGTCCATAGCGCAGTGCGCTAAGCACTACACTCATACGTGCAGCTCTCAGACATACAATGTGTGCATATATAAGTAGTTTTATCCACCACTTTATTGTAACAAATGCAACTTTGCATGTTTTAATAATGCATTTTTCACTCTTAGTTTGATCTCGATGTTGTTGTAGTGCTTGTTATTTGATCATCTGTGGATATTCAAATTCTCTCCCCTCTTACCTCACTCTAGGCTGCTTCACATGCACTCCTCACCACCGTTCAAGGCCGTTTGTTGAATCCCCGAGTCAGCCTTCACTCTGTGGGACGTTGCTTCTTCTCATCTGGTACCTACAGGTCTGGAACTTCCTCCCGCTGACCATCTGCACTGCTGCTTTTCTGCCCGTGTTTCTAAGTCCAGTCTCAAGACCTTCACTTTCTCCTGTTCCCACGACTCTCTCTTGTCGCACAAAAGTAGAGTAAGTGAAGTTACTTGACCACCGGTTAGCTGTGTTTTAGTTAGTAAGTAAAATGTAACCACATTATAATGTGGCTTTGAAATCTACACAAGATTTCACTTGCCCAACACATAAACAGTGCTTCAACTTTGTCCGTGGCCCAATCACCCCCTAGAATCTTCCCGATCTCATCAGATCTCAGAAGCCAAGCAATTGTTCGTGCACCTTCAGTATTTGTGTGGAATCACCACTGGCGTTTGGCAAGTTTTGTTGGCATGGCATAGTGCTGTGGAGTGGCCAAGGATGGCAGGTGTTGAGTTGCACCCTCCCCCCACTTGTATGGGATTTCTAAGCAGACTTTTGTGGCTTCTTCCTCACGAAATCAAAACACTCATTCGTCGTATTCGACAAACATTCCAATGCAGGAGGACGCTCCTGAAAGGCAGTCTTGAGTCTCACGGAGGCTTTGCCAGATAAACAATTGGCATTATAAAAATAACTGTTTTATTTTTCTGAACTAACCTCATAGCATAAAGCGTAGCTAGTTAGAGGCTACTTTCTAACCCACGTTCCGCTAAAACGAGTCACCCCTGAATTTAAAAACCACTCCCACTTGCTGCTTGTTGACTTCTTGAAATAAAACGAAGTGAAACGTTTGATCCTTGACCTTTATATATTGCACCCCTTTCAGAATCAGAGGTCAAGTAAGTTGAAACATGCAGCACACGTGATGCGAGAGTTCTATTGTGATCACGTCTGTGGCAGTGGCAACAAATATGCACGCATTATTTGTCATAATAATGACGGCAGTTTTAAATTGTGGTTTTACATGACACCACGAGATGTGGTTTTTTGTGTTCCCGTGCTGCCGAGACGTGAAAACTACAAAGTATTGGGCGCACTTGGCGTCAGCTGTGCGACTGTCGAGCATCAGTGTGACTCAAGAACGCTTTGAAGGGCTCTAGTGAGCCACACCCAGAGTGACAGCCTCTGTTACCAGGGCCAACAGCGTCAGTTTAGCCCACGAACCAAGGGTGATTGGTCAGTACCACCTGGCGTGGCAATTGTTGCTCATACCCACCAGCAGCAGTATCCACCCAATGTGGGCAGAGAGTGTGTCAGAAATATACCACCTGCTTTATGGACACACTTCCTATATATTTTCATATTCCATGGATGTTTAATGTAATTTTTTTTTAAATTTCCCCTAAACATTATGTTCTATATATTAAATTACAAATCTGTGCTGCAATACCGTTAAAAAGACTAGACGCTATTTTTATTTTACCAAGTAAGGGTCTTTTTAAGTAGCAACCTGGCCAAAAATGATAGCTTTAATTAAGTGGCTTATCGTGGACATTTATAGCAGCCGAATACTCTTCTGAAACAACATATTTCCCACGAAAAGCTACCACAGTGGCGTTGCAATCGAACAAACACGTGATCGAGAGATAGCATTTTTCCAGAAAATAATCGTTAGCATGTGCCACCGTTGGTGGTACCAATAGTCCCTATTTTGGGCAAATGGTTTTGAAGCGCCAATGTGACAAGTGCGCGTGTGGCGGGGTCGGTTGTGCAACCGCACACGCTTGGACACTATCTCAGAGCTGCGGCGAGGGCCTGCCCCGTGCCGGCGAGCCATCTGCCTATCTTCACCCTAAGCGCCAACTTCTCCTGTAGCTCTTGCTCATGAATGGGTAAAGGTGCAGCCCTGAAATTGCTCGCTCACGGCACTGCTGGCCAAAGGGCCTTCACTAGAGGGAGTTC